TCTGTACCCCAATGGAAAATTGGGACATTACTCTCTTGTGATTCCCCCTTGCTATGCCCCATCCCCAGCACATTAAATAATCAAATTTGTTATATCTTTTCTTCCTATTGATCTAAATTCGTTTTTTGGGTTTTTTTAATAATCCCTTATCAGGTATTGGTATTAAAATAATCTGGGTTCATAAAAAAATTAAAACAAAAATAAAATAAATTTGTCAGTGATTTTTATTAACGAAGCTTTAGGGGTGAAGTCTTCCTGCGGCCCCTACACGTCCCAGGTGGACCACAGGCTCTGGGCTGCATTTGGGTCTTTCCGTCCTTCAGTGTGCATAGCTGAGGGGCAGAGCCATCTCTTGCAAAGGCAAAGAGCTCTCTCCCTCTCCTCCTCTCTAACTGCTGCTTCAATCCAGGGCCAACACAAACCTGAACAACCCCAAACAGAACAACTCGCTGTCTTTGAACATCTCTTCGGTTTCCCTCTGCCCTGTCTTTCCCACCACCGCCTTCCATGTGTGTGTCAGCTCCTGGCAATACTTCACAGCCTGTTCAAAGGACACCCCAACACAGTTTTCCCTGATTCCCCCACCTGAAAGGGGTTTCTGACCTCCTTAGAATTCACACAAACTTTACATGAACCTTTCTGAGGACATCTCACTTGCTGGTTAAACCAACTAATGGAGTTCTCACTCTGCACTGGGGCCATAAATATGAGTGAGACGTGGCCCAGATCTCAGAGAGCCTGGCCAGAGGAGAGCCGTGACAAGCAAGCCACGTGTGTGACCAGGGCTGTTGCTGAGATACACAGAACATGGGTGAGAAAAGCTCTGCCCAGAGAAGAGAAAGTGACCACTGAGCTGCGGGGGGACTTGGGGCCTTCCAGGATCCCTCCCATGCCACTGCTCCCACCATCCAGTTCCCACTGCAGGTGACTGGCTTATTGGAGTTCTTCCCCGGGGACAGAGCATTGCTGAAAACACAATTGGTCCACATCCACTCCAGGTGTCTCTGCCACATACACATCCACACACCAGAACAGCATTGGCACTCAAAATATAAACAAATGAATAAACAAACAACAAAAAGAACAAATTGCTTTCTGTCCTCTTCCCCCATCAAGTTGGGATTTCCTACAGAGCCAGGAGTGTGTCACCTCCTGATAATGGGGATATGCTGATAATGGGGGAGGCTGTGCACCTGTGGAGGCAGGGGGTATAAGGGAAATCTCTGTACCTTCTGCTTTATGTTGCTGTGAACCTAAAACTGCTCTTTAAAAAATCTGTTTTTAAAAAGTGATCAAATAACAAAACGTTTTTTGATTGTTTAAGAAAACATGCCCCCAGTAAATTTTTATTTTTAATAATCACATAATATTTATAGCATAGATACAATAAAATATATTTGACCATTCCCATTTTAATTGCCATTCTGGTCATCTATAGCCTTTTGCCACTAATAGTAACATTGATGTCATATGGAGAAGTGGGAGAGGTAGAAACACAGAGTCCCCTAGTTACACTGACAGTTGATAGGGAAAGAATTTGGGGGAATATGATGAGTTGAGAATACAGGCCCCACCCGGGGAGATATCACAACAGCTCAGAGGAGGCCCAGGGTGCCTAACGGGCTGCTCATTAAACGAACCCAGAACTCTCTTGTGCCACACAAGGAAGCCTTGTGGAGGGGATGCAGAAAAAATGTCCATTTCAGTGATTCATCACCCTTTTCCTAACGATGCCCCAGGGACTCAATGACCCCCCACTCCTGTCTCCCATACCTCAGTCAGACTTTCAGCAGGTTAGGGCACATCAGAGCCAAGGGCATGGCCACCACCTCCTACACAGATTGTTTTGCAAAAAGCAGCGAGCAAGCACATTGAAAACTTCATGAAGAGTCACCATCATGGGGCTGGGAGGGAAATTTGCCCAATCCCCTTCCTCCAGGCCCATCCCATGAGGGTTACTCCACCACCCTATCTAGACAGTGGGGCCAGGGTGGGTGAGGCTGCCCCTCGGGCTCTTACATGAGATTTGAGAGTGAGGACAAGTGTCAGGACTCAGGGGTCTGGGGCCAAGTGTGCCCTCACCAGCAGGTGACTTTGCTGTGACCACCGCCCTCTCTGGGTTCCCTGGACTGTCACTGTGGATCATGACAACAGACCCCTCCACCCCCGGGACCCCCATGAGGATCTGACCTGAAGATGGTGTGGAGAGACCTTGCCTCCCTCCCTGGACTTAGATTCCCAGAGGTCAGGCCTTGATGTGACCCAAGAGGTTCAATAGGGAGGATGGGGGTGAGGATTTCAATCAGAGTTTCCTGGGATTATTTCTTGACTTTGCTGTTTTCTAGCTGAGTGATCTTAGGGAGTTTTCTTGACTTACAAAATCTCAATTTCCTCTTTCCTGTTTTGGGGATAACAGCATAGGGGATAACCTTCACAGGGTTGGGAGGATCAAAAGGAAATGCAGCTACAGGAGGAATCTTGATATCAGGCATTAAAATGTACAGTAACTGATGGTGGCCACAGGTACCTGTCAGAACAAGTTGGTAGAAGGACTGGGTGTATAAACAGGATCACGCTGCCTTCCAAAGTATGTAATTGCATCCTCCTTGAGTCCAGAATCCTGGTGTTCTCTACCAAATTCCCCATCCTATTCTGAAATATCCACGGGCTGCCTGGCCTCGGATCAAGGTTGGGACAGAAGAAAGCTCCAGGAGAGGTCTCTCAGGAGGTGCAGCACCTGATGACCTGGTACTCTGACTGGAAATGCTAAGCACAACCTCCTAGGTCTTTCCCACCCATGTGAGGGGCAGAGGCTCCAGGAAGCAGACAGCATGCACCACCCAGGGATCCCAGCCCCTGGGAAGAGCCAGGCTGAGCCTTATAAAGGGACTGCTCCCTGTGCAGACACACGCATCTCACTCATCCTTCTCCATGACACTTCCTCAGCTCTGGTAAGTCGGCATCTGCCACTTTGCCTTTTCTAGGGGAAGTGCCCAGAGCCCAGCTCTCTACTGCCTGCAGGAGGGACAGCGCTGGGGCCAGGACTCTGGAGCCTGGGTCTACTCACAGCTCTGCCACCATCGGTGCTGATGACCTTCACTTTGAGCTGAAATTCCTCATGTGGACAACATGTAACTGGACCAGACCCAGCCCATGGCTTCTGTGGGCTCTTCTGTGACAACTCCTGTGGAAATGTCCCCAGTAGCAGCTGAGGACACATCCTGCCTTCTGTCCCTGGCTTCTTCCTCCCTGGATTCACTCTTCTGTCAGGTTCCTGGATGCTGATCCCCCTCCCTACCCCATCCCCACTGACAGTAGAGGGCTAAGGGTTCTCTGTGATTGCTTTAAAGGCTCTGCTAACCCCCAGGCCTGGGACCCCCACTCACCACAGCCCTGCAGAGGTGACCACCAAGTTTGGTGAGGTGACCACCAAATTTGGTTGGTGACTGATCAACCAAAGCTCCCCCACTTCAAACCACATCCCTGAAAATTCCCAGCAACCCTCCAGGCACAGGGCTCAGTCCCTGGCCTTGGCCTCAGCTTCCTAAAGGCCTTGGGTGGCTTCTCTTAGTGACTTACCAGCATGGAGCCTTCTGCCACATCTGGAAGTGAAGTTGGTTTCTTATCAGATTCCCACACAGGCAAGCCGAGGTCAATTCCTGATGCTTTGGAAAGTCTGGATGCGAGAGCTGCACCGTGCAATTTCTCTGGCTTGGGGTCCAGTCCAGCCCAGACTCTGACTGTTGACAGGAAAATCAGCCTCTAGAAGTCAGACTGTGTCTTTATCAAATAAGAGTCAAGCCTTGGTGATCTAGAGACCAGAGAGGAATGTTGGGTGGTGTACTAGTCTCTGTTGCTTATAACAAAATACCCATAACTGGGTCATTTATAAAGAAAACGAAATGTATTGCTCCCAGTTTCTGAGGCTGAGAAGTCCAAGGTTCATCTGGTGGTGGCAACAGTGACCCAGGGGTCTCACATTGCAAGACGGGGAAGCAGAGAGAGCAAGAAAGAGACAGTTCCTCATGCATGTCCTTTTAAAGCCCTCAGAACCACGTCCTTGACCACCATTATTAATCCATTCAGTACTGCAGGGTCCTGCAATCCAATCACCTCTTCAAGGCCCCACCATTCAATTACCATAATAGGATTTGCCACCCCCGTAACAGTCACAGTGCGGGCCAAGTTTCTAATACATAAACATAGGGGGATGCAATTCAAGTTTCAGTGAGTTTGGCGGTGACATAATTCAATCCACTACAGGTGGATAATCCCCAAGAACAGACAATCTGAAGACCCCCCTGCCCTACATCACCCAACAGCTTAAGAGCCAGGGCAGTTGTTTGTGTCCATTTCAAATCTGAGGCCGACCGTGGTCACCAGTCCCTCTTTCTCACTCCCGAGGTGGTCCAGGAAGACCTCCCCCATGCTCAGCACAGGGCTGTGTTCTCTGCTCACACTCTCGCCTGCAACCCCACACACATTTCATGCAGAGCTGGCACTAGAGTCCAGGTAGGGCCCCCAGGGTGGCTTGTTCCTGATGCAGCCCTGAATGGCCAGAGACCTCACTGAGGACAATGTCCGGCCTTGTGACTCTAACCCCCACTGTGAAACTGAAGGCATGCATTTGATGTTGTTTGAGGAGGGGTCTGTGGAATCTGGCTGTGGCTGGAGGTCCCACCTCTCTGTGTGGTTCACCCCGACTCTCCCTGCTTAGACATCCTGTCGGTGCTACCCACAGCTCTACACCTGCTGCCACCTGCCCCTCCTCTTCTCCCTGGACTGTGAGTGCCCAGGCCCCAGACCTGGCCCTGTCCTCCCCTTTTGGGGACCGTTTATTTCACCACACAGAGAAACTCGAGTTCCTCTGCCCCAGCCTAGCCCTGTGCTAAGCTCACTCACGCCTCAGCCCCCATCCATTGGCCTCACCTGGTGTCCCTCATGAGGGGGAAAGTAAAGGAAAGGTCACTGTCTTCCGTGCAGCTTTCCTGAAAGCAAAGATGAGCACCACTCAGTCTGAGAAGACCATGATGGGCTTGATCGGCCTGTTTCACGAATACACCGGGCGTGATGACATGATTGACAAGCCGAGACTGCTGGAGATGCTGAAGAAGAACTTCCCCAACTTCCTCAGCGCCTGCGTGAGTCGGGGTCCGGCTGCCCCGTGCAGGTTGGGCCCTGGCATGGCTGAGGACACATTTTGCTGTGTGACCTTGGACGAGTCACCCTCACTCTCTGGTTCTTAATTTTCTCATCTGCAAAAAGGGGATAGTAGGGCTACATTTCCTGGGGATGTGAAGAGGTGATATATTTAAAAGTTCAGAAATGATAGAGTTATTCAGTTATCGGAATTATAAAGAGTTACAAAGGGCTGTTATTAGGGTCAACAAAGTGCTAAAACTTGAGGGCAGTGAAGGGATCTCCTCCCAGCTGACACAGACACTCTCTCCAGAGATCCCTTCCTCTTCAGACCCTGCCTCTTGAAGGCTCCCCAAGAAAATCACTGATTTAGATAAGGCACTAGAAATTCCATCATTAATAGAAATTATCACCATCCTTTACAATTAACATTCTTATTAGCAAACCTGAAAAAAAAAAGTGGGTTATAGTTAGCACAGAGTCTACCTGAATAAGAACAGGGAACCCAGAACTTAGGGCAGAAGAGAGAAGGAAAGAAAGAAATGTTAGAGAATAAAGAGAGCAAGGGATTAGGGATAATTTAGAATCCCTGGGGTAGATGTAGGGGACGCAGTGCCCTTAGAGGCTGGGGACAAGGAGAGCAGGGCTGGGGACCTCCCCATAGCTCATTTACCAGAGCATCTCCGGGCAGAGGAGCTCTGTCATTCGCACTGACCTTTGAGCCCAGGAGTCTCCTTAACCAACTCCAGGGGGCGCACTAACGCCCCAGCCCGTCTTTACCACGTCCCGTCCAGCCACAGCCCCGCCAGCCCCACCTGAGCAGCCCGAGCCCGTGGTCTCTGGGTCTCTGCCTCTCCTCTCCCCTCTCAGACCACGACTTGGGTGTGACTGAAATTTTTTGTTCCTCTGTTTCTCTCCTCACAGGACAAAAGGGGCAGAGATCACTTGGCCAATGTCTTTGAGAATAAGGACAAGAATAAGGATGATAAGATTGAGTTTTCTGAGTGGCTGTCCTTGCTGGGGGACATAGCCACGGACTACCACAAACACAGCCACGGAGCGGAGCTCTGTTCCGGGGACAGCCAGTGATCCCGGCCCAGCCCAGGAGCCTCCAGAGACCCCAAAACAATAAAGTGTCTCCTCCCACCAGATTCTTGTGTTACTTCTTCCTTTGCTTTGTCTGTGTGTATCATAGACAGAAAAGGAAGTTGTTGAGTAACTGCTTTGTAGATTCTCCACCAGATGAAGAAGTTCTCCCCAGCAAATGGCTATTCCCAGAGTGTCCCCGCCAGTGCCCTCAGACCTGATTGGGTCACCCTATTCTGTTGGACCTTGAGATTTACTTGTGCTCCCACTCCTGGAACCAGGCACCCTGCCCAGCTGTGTGAGCCTCAGTCAGCATGTAAACTAGAACTTTTGCTTGGACCCTTGCCAGGGGCCAAATGGGCACTTGCTCTCTGCACCCCTTCATGATTAGTAGGAGCAGCAGTGACTTGAGCATTAGTCCCCTGTGCTGTGGCTTGACCCCTGCAGCTGTTCCCTTGCTCCTTTGTCTGCATGTTGGGGTCAGTGTGAGCAAATACTGTTGTCTTGCTCTCAAATGTAGTTTGCTAAATACCAGGCATCTAGCTGGGCATTAGGGTTGCAAAGGCAAGAGTCAGTTCCTGATGTAGTGAGGGAGTCCTTACAGCACACATGAAACTGGTAACAAGTCTAGCTGATTCAGGTCCATACTTCTAGGGTGTTCATTAATGGATGGGGAGCTAACATTCATGCAGCAGATGAAGGGGTGGGTTGGAGAGAGCTGGTGACGCTCGTCTCTGAGACTGGGACTATGCCAGCAATGAGGAGGCAGAAACAAAAATGATGCAATGGCTCCCCCCTCCCCCTGAGAAAATGCCCATCTTCTTGTGGCCTCTCTACTGGGGTGCTAATTCTTCCTAGTTTTAAGCTCTTCAAACTCTTCAGGGCAGGGGCAGGAGCAGCTCTCATCCTTGTCACCAGGGTCATTTTCAGATCATATCTCCATTATTCCTCACACCTCTGTAAACTTGCCCCATCCTTGAGGCTCATCTCTTACTGCCACAGGATTATCTTCCTTTCTTATCAGATTCTCACTCTCTCCTGATGTGCAGATGGATTAGACACCTGGCTTACCTTCCCCCTTTCTATTCTACCAGAACATATATGGAATATCTTTACAGTCAGATTTTCTAGGAGATGGGGATTCTGGCCCAAGTGATTTATGGAGGTAGTGCTCTCAGTAAAACTTGAGAGGAAGTGAGGAAAACAGCATGGACAGGGCAAGAAACTCGACAACGACATGGGCTCAGCTTCAGTCTGATTCCATGGGGAGCTTTGGAGCATGAATGGAACCATGGAGTTATCCCACAATGAGGCATAGAGGCCCCCTCTTGTGTCCCTGGCTACAGGCCACACCCAAGGGAAGGCATAGCCTTTTAGGCATTCCTGGACCTGGAGGCTCCTTTGGAGCAAGCGCCATTCTTAGGAGAGGGTGACATTGTGACCTATTAACAACCAACACTGATCTAATAGAATTTGATGATGGGCATAATGGCCAGGCTACAGGGATCTGGGTGGGGCATTGCAGCATCTACTGCAGTCCCCACCCCCTTGTACCCACTCAGAACCATTTGCTTCTCATCAAATTTGTCCCATCCAAGAATAGCTTCTCCAGTTCCGGTTGGTTAGTTCCTAGGGAAATTTACAAGAGCAGAGTCAGTGGGCTACCATAGCCCGTGCTGCTGCACTTGTTTTTGAGTTCACAACTGATGTTCATCATTTTTCTTCTCTACCACCCATCCTGGATTTCCCTCCCGGTGGCTAGTGCTTCTTCTGGTCTAGGCTAGTGGCTTGCCTGGTGGGGTGATCTGGGTTTGGGCCATAATCTCAAAGACACAATCCCAAATGCCACAATTCTGAATGCTGAAATCCCAAAAGATCAAAATCCCCAAAATCACAATCCCAAAAGATTAAAATTCCAAATGTTGAAATCCTGAAAGCCAAATTCTGTGGAAGGGATTACTACATTTGGGGCTTTTTCCTTTCCTTTTCTTATTTTCAGCATTTTGATCTTTTGGGATTGTGATTTTGGGGGGGTTAGACTTTAGGGATTTTGATCTTTTGGGATTTCGACATTTGAGATTATGGTGCTCAGAATTGTGTCTTTCAGGATTATGATTGGCACTGGGATGACCCAGACCACCATCCCTGTGAGATGTGTGCTCATGGTTCCTACACCATTATCAGGCCTTGGTAGCTGTACTTCCTCATTTACAGTTAAAACTGGACATAGGCATAACAATAGACAGCCCACTGGATCTCCTGAGTGCCAGAGAGATTTCTCCCTGCCCTTGTGTAACAGCAGTCCTACATGGTGATAGGATCAATCACCCTTCCAATAAGGTTATGCCTTTTTTTTTTTTTTTTTTTCCCTGCTGGAGTACTCTCAAAAAGAGCCTAAAGTGATTGAGCAGAAGTAAATGGTCATAGGTTCCTTTGAAGAAAGTCTGGGAGAATCACTACTACACACACATGCTGTGGTGTTACAGGGTCTTTATGGGGATCGGGTTTCTCTTTCAATGGATGGTTTCTGGGGGATGAAAACTAGCTCAGATGTGGAGACTGGGCAAGGGATAGTACCTTTCCATTGGATGGCTGATCTCAGTCTTCTGCTCATCCATTCTCAGTTTCTTTTGATTATATATAAATATATTAAGACATAACCTAGTTGGCTGCTTTAGAGTTAGAGGGAGCACAGACCACAAGACTGTCCTCACTTTCGATACCAACTGCAAGTTCAGGGGTCTCTAACGCCACCCTGAGCTTTGATAACTTCCTGGAAGGACTCACGTGACTCACTGAAAGCAGTTACACTCATGGTTATGGTTTATTACAGGAAGAGGATACACATTAAAATCAGCCAAAGGAAGAGACACCTGGGGCAGAGTCCAGGAAAGTTACAAGCATGGAGCTTCCTGTTGTCCTCTCCCTGTGGAGTCATGGAGAGTGCTACTCTCCTGGCAACAATGTATGGTAATACACATGCAGTTTTGCCAACCAGGGGAGCTCACCTGAGCTTTGGTGTCCAGAGTTTTTATTGGGACTCCAAGGTTTATTGGCCAACGTGGTTTATCTCAGTCTCCAGTCCCTCCAGAGGTCAAACTGATAACATGTGACTAAAAGCCTCCACCATAAATCACATTGTTAGACTTTCGGGAGAGGTCCAAAGCCCCCAGGTAAACAAGGACACTCTTATCAGGCATGGTATTCCAAGGGCTTAGAGGTTGCCTCCATATTATGGATTGAATTGTGTCCCCCCAAAAGTTTAATGGGTTGGAGGCTTGGTTCCCACAGTGACAGTGTTAAGAGGGTAGGAAGTCCTATTAAGGTAATTGAAAGGTGGAGCTTTTAAGAGGTGATTAGACTGTAGAACCATACCATAGCAAATGGACTAATAATGGTGGTCAGGGACATGGTGTCGGGCTGGATATCAGACCCCTCTGCCCCATCCTGTGCACGTTGCAAGTCAGGTAGTTGAAAAAAGATTCTGGCAGCCGATGGCAGGATAGACATACATTATTCTGATGCAAACTCTGCCCTTCATATTGCCAGTTCAACATGAGGTCTCCAGTCCTCATCTGCCCCCAAAAGGCGAGCACCTCAGCCTGCTCCCTCATCAAAAGAGAACAGTCCATCTGCCTCCATTGAAGCAGCCAAGAAATATTTCAGATTCACTGGATGTGCTTTATCATGTATCTCTTTTGGAAGTTTGGTATAATGCTGTTCATGATATAATGCTGTTCATTTGGCTGCTGGTCAATTTTTTCTCTATCAACCCCTGTCACAAGCAATTCAAACCACATCTGCATATGGCTGGTCTTGTTCAGTCTCTTCGGAGCAACAGTCTGAGCATTTTGGGGAGACTTAGTCTTCACCACCTTTCAGACCCCCTTTGTTTGTCCTCTCCTCTCTGCTTCACCCAGACTGGCCATCATGGTTGTTACTTCATGTATAGGACAACCAATATATGGGGCTAGTATGGCCATCAGTGACCCAAAGAATGTTGATGTGGCATTTTGCAGCACTACATCTCTTGTGCTGCCTGTAAAACACTCATCATCCAGGCCACGGGTGTTCGCATTAAACATGGACTATCACATCCCCAGCTCCTGAATTATTTGAACCAGCTTGGCATGTGTTTGTCATCTACTCACAGTTTTGGGCAGTTCTCTGGTGTTTGTCCACACAGTCCAGATGGCTACATACACCCATTCCATCAAGAAGTGGTTACCCTGTCTCTGCACATATCTTCAGCTATTTTGTAACCACTGCCACAGGGACAGGTGCGTGGTGATAGAGAGTAACTTTTCCATCTCATCACCAGAACACATCGCACCATCCACCCCAGGTCCCACAACCACAGGAGCCAAGAAGCTAGGGGTTCACCCTGTTTCTACCAAAACAGCTTCCCAAGTCAAGCAACTCAGCTTGAGCACAGGGGATATAAGTAGTAAATTGGGTCACTTGTGGGTTGCCTACCGGTACTCCACCCAGTTCCGTGGGCTGTTCATGCTTCATTTTCTGAGGGGCAACAGGTCACACCAGGACACTCACGCTCAGGTTCGTCATTGTCCTTGGCATCAGATGCAGAGGTAGTCTGTTGCTGTACCTCAGCCTCCAGAGCGTGTACCCACATCTCCAGCATATCTGCCTTTGGTTTTAACTCTCAAAGCCATGCCACATCATGGAATGCCTGATCCATATTAGCTCGCAGTGCAGTGAGCAGCAGCCAGCCCATCCTGCCAGCAACTCTCCAGGACTCCTCATCTTTCACCATTGAACCCAATATCTGGAGAGCTCTCTCTGTGCTCACTGGGGACCCATCAACTTGGTCCCACATTTCCAGAGCAGCCCAAGTCCACAGGAACACAACCACCAGGTACTACATGCTCAAGGGTAGCCACATTTCCTCCCTCTCCCAAGGGGCTCATGGCTCCCTTACCTGCTTGTCCTGATGGCTACACCAATTGTCAGGCTGGATCACAGACCCCCCTGCCCTGTCCTGG